CACGTCCTCACCCTGAGCTTCGCCCCGGACCTTGCAGCCTGAGAGCTGCGGACTCCTTACCGAGGCCTCCAGGTAGGGGAAACTGAGGCACCATCCAGCCCTAGCTCCTTGCTGGGATCCTGAGCCCCGCAGGAACCTCCGTTTCCCCACCAGGTCTCCCGGTGGGGGGGCCCTCCGGCACTAAGCACTGCCTGGGGCTCCTTCCCCCCCGCAGGGGACGCACGTCTCGAGTCCTGCAGGCTGCTCTGAGTCTGAGCCCGCCTGAAAGGGTCCCCGCGAAGATGGCAGCCCCCTACCCCGGCAGTGGCAGCGGAGGCGAGGTCAAATGCGGGGCAGGTCGTGGCGGCAGCGTCCCGTGGGACTTTCTGCCGGGGCTCATGGTCAAGGCCCCGCCCGGACCCTGGTGAGAAAAGCCCCGCCCCTCGGGCCTGGCCCCGCCCCCAAGGAGGCGTTCCGGGGGAATTCACACTCACTTCTGCCCCGCCTCCTGGGGCTAGAATCTCTTACCCTGCGTTGCTCATCCGGGGCTCTGTAACCCACCCCCACAGTTTGCTGTTCCCAGCCCCTTCCTCATGATCCGTGCCCAACACTCCTCATCTCTCCCCTCTTCCTCCTAGTTCCCCCCAACGGCCGGGTGTAGAATCCACACTCGGATTCTGCCCCCACCTCCAGAGTGTTGGATCCACTTCCAAACTCCCATCCAGTCCTCAGACCCCATGTGGCGGGGCTCCCCCCACCAGGCCCCTCACCCCTGAGCTCCTGGGCCCCGCTGACGCCACCTCCGCGCCGCCCGCCCAGTCTGCAGGCGCAGCGCAAGGAGAAGTCCCGGAACGCGGCGCGCTCGCGGCGCGGAAAGGAAAACCTGGAGTTCTTTGAGCTGGCCAAGCTGCTCCCGCTGCCCGGAGCCATCTCGAGCCAGCTAGACAAGGCGTCCATCGTGCGGCTCAGCGTCACCTACCTCCGCCTGCGCCGCTTCGCCGCGCTGGGGGCGCCTCCCTGGGGGCTGCGGGCCTCCGGGCCCCCGGCCAGCCTCGGTGAGTGCGCATGCGCGGGGGGGGGGGAGGAGCGGGGGTCCCGACGCCCTTCCCAGGGGGCAGAGGAGCCGTGACCCCAGATCCCCTCTGGCCTTCCCCCAGCTCCTCGACCCAGAGGGAGGACGGCGTTTGGGGTCAGAAATTTTGTGTGTTGCTTCTCTTCTCCGAGCCCCAGTTTATTCATCTGGAAAATGGGCACAGGAAGTAGGAAAGATTTCACTAGTTGTGGCCTCATCAAGGGCCTGGCAACACCAGGAATCATAGTAGTAAATGCTATTGTTTTAATTGGAGCAGAGGTAACACGAGGGAGCCCCGCAGCTCCGTGGGTGGGACGGAAGGGACCCAGCCTGGGCCTCCCATCCGCTAATGAACAGCAGACCCCTGCACCCAGAGGACTCTGCAGTCAGGATGCCCAGTTTGGGACAGTGGGAGGGAGAGTTTCATATGGCAGGTAAGACGGTGAGCTTCAGAAAGACCAACCTGGGCCCCTGTCCCCACCCAGCCACTCCCCAGCACTGCGACCCCAGGCAGGTCACCGCACCTCTCTGTGAAATGGGAATCGTGGCGGGACCCGTCCCTGAGGGCTGAGGAGAGGATCAACCAGCTAATACATGTGTAAAGATCCCGAACATCCCTGGCGGAATAAGCAATGTGTGGTGACTGGTGTCAGTGACGACTCTGCAGGGTTGTTGGGGGGACCTGTGGTTTATTGAGCGTCTACTGTGTGCCTGCTACTGTCCTGAGCCCTTGAGATCCAGCAGGAAACACTAAAAATCCCTGCGCTGGACGGGCTGACATCCTAGTGGCCAAGGCACAATAAGAAAATAATCAAAGAAATAGAATGTGTAATATGTAAATATAGAATATGTAAAAACAGATATATATAGATACCTACTTTTATTATTATTCAGACTTTATTATTGATAGATACATGGAAGTGTTATGTTATTATTCTATCTTATGCATTACTGCTTTATTCATATTACTAGAAGACAGTGAATCGTGTGAATCTGAGGTCGCAGGTGACAAAGACATAGGACCCCAGGCACTCCCCCGCCCCAGAAGAGGGGGTGTCCTTAGCATGGGGTTGGGGGGCTCCAATTCCCCTCCTGCCCTGGTCCCTGGGTGGGGGGGGGGTGAGAGAAAATAGCATTGATTAAGCTCGCAATAAATCACCATTTAAATTTAAATAATCCAGCTTCCCAGGCGGTAATTAGGCGAATTGACTGGCGCCGAGAGAATGCGGCATTAGAGCTTCTGATTACTGTCATTACCGCGAACAACATGTGCTCCTGCCAGGGATAAACATCTTGTCTATTGTCCCGGAGCCCAGGGGATAGAAGGGGGTTGGTGCTAAGAGAGCCTCTCTGGGGTCCAGATTGCCCCCCATTCCCCGGATGGGCAAGTTGAGGGGGCGGGAGCTCACTGAGGTCACAGCACTGAGGTAGCAGACCCCTGGCCTCGGGCCTGTAACCTAGCACTGGTGGGGGGCAAGAACTGTGTGGGCTTCCTCCTATAACCCCAAAATTAGAAAATTGGGGGGATCTTCTGCTCTACAGGGTCTCTAACAGGGGGCCAAGAGTCTGCTTCTGTAGTTCAGATGGGGAAACTGAGGACAGGGTTTTAGCAGAAGTCAGAAACAAAGCATTGTGCCTCTCACTCTCTCAATAGTAATAATAATAATAATAATAATAATAATAATATGCAGTGCATTTCAGACACTGTTCTTTCCTCTCCTCTCTCCCGCTCTCTTCCTTCCTGTCTTCCTTTCCTCCTTGATATGTTCCCTTTAATTAGGAGATTGTTTCAATAGAGTTTTGAGGGTTTTTTGTGTTGAGCACTGTATGCAAATCAACTCGCTTAATTCTCTCAGAAATCTTAGGAGGGAGGCCGTACTGTGATTCCCATTTTATAGAAGCAGAAAACTGAGAGGCAGAGAAGAAAAGCTGTTGGCTCAGAGTCACGCAGCTCAGGGAGAGGCCCAGCTGAGTCAAATTCGAGTAGCCTGGCTCCACAGTCCACCTTCTCAGCCACCATCCTTGGCATGTTTGTAGGTCTGCAAGAATGGGTCCCTCCTTGCAGGCCTCAGCCTCCCTCTGGACCTCTCTCTGCCATCTGTAAAATGGGACAACAGGGGTTAAAGACTAGCCCTGGGCCTCTGAGTCTGGGGACAAGACAGCCCCAATCTCATATCAGCATTGGTCATTCATTCAACAAACACCCACTGAACACCTCCGCTGTGCCAGGCACTGTTCTAGGCGTTGGGGACACAGCAAGGACGAGGACAAAGTCTCTGCCCATCATCTCATCTCCTGATCTCATCTTCTTCCCCTGTCATGTCTTCAAACACACACACACACACACACACACACACACACACACACACACACACACACACACACTGGCCACCTTGCTGTTCTTCAGAGAATATGCTCTCACCCCAGGGCCTTTGCACTTGCTGTACCCTCTACCAGGAGCTGCCTCCCTTCTGAATGTCAGCTCCTCAGGAAGGCCTTCCCTGACCAGTCCGTTACAAATGACAGCCCCGCCTCCTCCCTAGCCCCAGCATTCCTTATCTTCCTTTCCCGCCTTATTTCTTCTTACCATCAAATGACACCACAGATTTCTTATTTCTCTGGTTTACCGTGTCTCTCCCTGTTCCCTGAGCCTGGAATAGTGCCCGAGGCACAGTCAGGACTCACTGCCACGGTCAGGTGACTATGAAATGGAGACAGGAGAGAGGAAGGGTGACATCTTAATTCACAGGTCAGGCACAGCCTCTCTGAGGAAGTGACCTTTGAGCCGGGACTGGATGGCGGTGAGGGAACAAGCTATGAACATCTAGAAGGGTGGTCTAGGCAGCGGGAACAGCATGTGCGAAGGCCCCGAGGCAGGCTGGGACCGGCTTGCTGGTTTGAGGGCGTCTGGAGAGGAGCGACTGAGGCGGAGGCGGGGGTGGGAGGTTGGGAGGTTGGGGGGTGGAAGTCAGCAGGGGCCAGGGCCTGCAGGGCCTCGTGGGCCATGGCGAGGACTTTGCTCGCCGCGGCGGTGGTGAGCGTAGGTGGGAGACGGTGCAGTGGTCCAGGGTGGGGGCTGCGGGGTGGCAGGTGCTCGGGTTCAGGCGTCGCAGTGCGGGTCGAGCCCGTGGGATTTGCAGAACGTGGACGCAGGTGTGAGAGAAAGAGGGAGGCCGAGGTGCACGGCAAGGACCCACCCAGAAGGGTAGCGGCGCCCCCAGTCGTCCACGGGAACGTGGGCGAGAAGAGCGGCGTGACTTGGGAATGAGGCGCCTTCCATGTGCATGGACCCATTCTGCTGGGTCACTGGGCGCAGCCCCCAGATGAGGCTGAGGAAGGCGGAGGCCGAAATGCCCCGCCCCCAGCCCTCCGGCCCGCGCACGCGTCGTGGCGGGGTGCTTCCCGCTCCGATCGGCCCTGCTCTCCAGCACCCCGCAGCAAATCCCTGAGGGCAGCGGATGGGAGGTGAAGGGGAAACCCCTACCGCCTGGGAGAGGCCCTCAGTCCCCCCTCTGTGCGAGGGATGACGACTGTGGGAGACAGTTTTTCTTCTCCAGCCGAGTCGGGATCCAATAAGAAACTCAGCGAATGTTTGCTGAGTGCGTGAGTGACAGTTGGGGTTTGGACGTGAGGAGGGGGCAGATGGGGGAGGAAAGAAGAGCCACCTGCTGAGTTTGGGGACAGAGGAGTTTAGCCATTTGGGGAGCAGAGGAAGCAACACAGGGGAGGAGTTGGGGAGTGGGTGGGTTTGTGGGGAGAGAGCCTGGGAGTAATAAGACGCATCAGTCAGTGATGGGGACAGACCCCGGGGCTTCCCGTCCCAGGGGACAGGCCCAGTGTTTGGGGTACCAGCCAGTGGCTGAGCCCTCCCCCTCCACCCCACATCCCCTTCCTGCCCATTAACGCTGTTAATTGCAGCCCGTTCAGTCTGACCTGGGCTGATCCTGGGAGAGAGAAAATGAAGGAATTAACAAAAATGACAGGGGAAAATTGCGACAATTAGCAGGCGGCATTGTTCCCGCCTGTCACCCGGCTTGTTCGTGCTGCATCTAGAGGGAGGGGTCCCCATTAATCACCCCCCGTTATTGTTCCTGGAGCTTCAGGCGGGGGTGGAAGAGGATGTAACCGCGGGAGGATATTGGGGGAGCTCCTGGGAGAAGGAGGCGTGGCCTAGACGCTAGGAAGCGGGGGGCGGGGCCGGGGGCTGCGCCCTGATTGGCGGAGGGGCGGAGTTTCGCTGCCTGGTGTTTCGATGGTCTGGAAATAATAGCGATCACGCTATTAATGCTCATTCTGGTTCCGTGTTTCGGAGCTTAAACTAACAGAATGCTCAACCAGCCTGTGAGGGTCGTGCTCTGAGCGAGCCAACCCACAGAGGAGGAAACTGGGGTCCCAGAGCACGCAGCCACGGAGGGACAGCCCTACCGCTGGACGGACACCAGACCTGGCCCCTTAGCCCTGCAGGAGCCAGGTGCTTGGGGACCCTCAAAATCACTGAATCCTTCGTCCGGCTCCGCAGCCTAGGCACGGGGCCCCTTGTGGGGGGTCGTCCTCTGCAGGTTCAGGGACGGGATACTGAGTGGGAACAGGGTCCATGACCTCTGTTCACACCCAGCATGGGAGTCTAGAGCCCTCAGCCCCTGATGGGGGGCTGGGCCAGGGGGCCTTGTCCCTCTGCCTCTGTCTCATTTGTCACCTTGATCTTTCTGCCACTTTCTCTGTATCTGTCTGCATCTCTTTTCCTCTATCTCTCCATCTCTTTGTGTCTCTGTCTATCTGTCTCAATTTCTATGTCTAGGTCTCTGTCTCTATCTCTTCTATAAAAAATGTTTTTATTGAGGTAAAATTTGTGTAACACGAAATTCACCATTTTAAAGTATACAGTTCAGTGGCACTTTGAACATTCACAGTGTTGGGCGACCATCTAGTTCCAGAAATTTTCCATCGCCACCCAAAAATCCTGTACCCATTAGCAGTCACTCTCTGTCCTCCCTGCCCCTACTCCAGGCCCTGGCAGCCGCCGATCTGCATCCCGTGTCTGTAGATTTGTCTATACTGGACATTGCGTATCAGCAGAATCCTGCAGCACGCGGCCCCTTATGTCCGGCTTCCTTCACACAGCATGGTGTGTTCAGAGTTCATCCATGTGGTAGCGTGTGTCAGTGCTTCATCCGTTTTTATTGCTGAATAATATTCCATTGTCTGAATATAGCACATTTTATTTATCCATTCGTCAGCTTATGGGCATGTGGGTCGCTTCCACTTTTGGCAGCTAGGAATAACGCTTGTCGTAAACATTCGTGTACAGTTTTTGTTAGAGCACGTTTTCGATTCTTCTGGGTGTATGCCTGCGGGTGGAAAGGCTGGGTCAGATGGTAATTCTGTGTTTACCCTGTCGACAAACCGCCACACTGTTTTCCAGAGTGGCTGCTCCATTTACGGTCCCCCTCGCAATGCCCTGGGGCCCCGATTTCTCCGCGTCCTCACACCAACGCTTATTTTGTTTTATTTTTTCTAGCCGTCCTAGTGGGTATGAAGTGGTCTCTCATTCTGATTTTGATTTGATTTTGCTAATGACTAATGATTTCAGGCACCTTTTTCAGGTGCTTGCTTATCAGTCACTTGTATATCTTGTTTGCAAAATTTCTATTTATGTCCTTTGCCCATCTTTGAATTGAGTCGTTTGTCCTTTTTGTTGTTGAGTTGTAATGTCCTTATCTCTTTCTTTATTCCTTTATATCTCTCTGTCTATCTGTTTGTCTCTCTGTGTCTTTGTCTCTGTCTCTGTTTCTCTGTGTCTCCCTGTCTCACTCTGTCTGTCTCTCTCCATCTCTATCTCTCTGTGTCCCTGGGTGTGTGCGTCTGTCTCTCTGGATCTCTCTGTGTGTCTCCCTGTCCCTCTTTGTCTCTCTCTGTCTTTCTCTCTCTTATTTTCAGTCTCCACTGCGCCTCCTTCTCATCCTTCGGGTCTGAGCTCAGACACAACCTTTTCTAACAGGCCTCACCCCATTCTGCTTCACATTCCGCTTCATTTCACACCACCTATTCGATTCTTCATAGCACTGGCCACCAATGATAATTCTATATTGGTGAGTTTTTTACTTGTCTATGTGTCCCTGGCCTGGGTGCCCCTTAGGGGCAGGATCGGGCTGTCCAGGCCACCTCCATGTCCTTAACACTAACCAGCAAAGAGCCTGCTGTGCAGTCAGAGCTCAGGGAGAGTACTGGCTGGATGGATGGATGGATAGACGAGTAAACGGATCCCTTTCTGCATCGCCTCGTGTCTCTCTATGTGTCTAAATCTCTAGGTCTGTCTGGCCCACCTCGGTCCTCTCCCTCCTCCCCACATCCAGGGTCTCTCCCCCACAGAGCTCAGGGTCCCACAATACCCCAAGATGGCTACAGGACTCCGGGGAAGAGAGATTTGCAGCCTGGTTCCCTGGGGGCCGGCCTTCTGAGGCCAAGGTCATCAGGATCACAGGCCCCAGCCTCACCCCTCTCTCTGCCCCCAGCCCCAGGCCGCAGGGGCCCGGTGGCGCTGGTCTCCGAAGTCTTCGAGCAGCACCTCGGTGGACACATCTTGCAGGTGAGGCCCCTCCCCTGCCTGCTGCTCCTTGCTGCCACCTGGTGGCCATGCCTGGAGACAGCACCCTTTTCTCCTTCATCCTTCCCATAGGGAGCATCAGGTCTGGAAAGCAGAATGCTGGGGCTCCCCTTTCTGCCAGCCCCTTCCTAGCACCACCAAACCCCCGTCCCCCACCCCCACCCCAGAATAAACCATCCTAGGCAGAGATCAGATTTCAGAGCCTCTAACAGGTGCCAGGCCCTCCTCTCCCGCCTCCTTTGTCTCTCCCCCTCTAGTCCCTGGATGGCTTCGTGTTTGCCTTGAACCAGGAGGGCAAGTTCCTCTACATCTCAGAGACGGTCTCCATTTATCTGGGTCTCTCACAGGTAAGGGGCCGCAGCAGGCCACCTGCACTGGCTCAGCTGCCGTCTCTCGTGGCAGCCCACCCATGCCCTTCCTCCGTCCTGGCCTCACCATCCCAGCATGAGAACATGGACTGAATCTGTGGTTCCCAAAGTGCATCCCTCGGAACCCCACACGGCACCCCACGTGGTTCCTCATAGGCAGAGGGTTATCAAATTCACGGTTCCATTTGAAACCAAACTAGTAGAAGGATCAGTTTGCCAAAGAGTGGTGGCCAGACGCACCGTATTTACCAAAGCCTGTTTCTTCTTCATTCTGAAGGGCTACAGCAATTTGTATTGGAAGAGCCTGGGTTTTGCCAGCTTTGGGAGGTCCTCTGTGGCGTTTTAGTCAGCTGGCTTGTTCTGTCTTTCTCTCAACCTGCCGTCTCCACCCCAGCTCCTGCAGCCGGAAAGGCGTTTTAGTCAGCTGGCTTGTTTTGTCTTTCTCTCAGCCTGCCGTCTCCACCCCAGCTCCTGCAGCCGGAAAAGGAGGGCGGGGGGAAGCCAAAAGCCCGCTCCCCTGGACTCGTGGCTCCTCGTGGCAGCTTAGGCCTTGCCAATCCCTCCAATACAAATTGCTATCAACTGTGATCATTTTTAGAAAGATTTTGGCAAATGGTAAATTTAGAAAATTCAGTGTGTTGGTATTTGGCCTCTGTGAGCGGCTTTTCAGTGAGTTGCCGGAGGTTGCTGGAGGAGGGGAATGTGGACAGGAGGAGGAAGGGCAGGAGGAAGGACTGAGGAAAGGCTCGGCGCTCGTGCGGGGAGTTCGGAGGGACCAGGGATGGAGGGAAGCGTGTGACCCCAAGCCCAGGGGTAGTGGGAGCCTTGGGTGGAGGCCCGTGGTCAGATGAGTAACTAAGGGAAGGCTATTTGAGGGGGCCCCGAAGGCCAGAAGCCCAGTGAGGACGCCGGGGCAGGAACACAGCAGGGAGAAGATGGGGGTTTGGGGGAGATATGGGGAGAAGGGGACTGCTCTGAGAGGTTTGGTGGGGCGTGAACTGAAGGTCAAAGTCTGATTAAAAGGACCTAACTCTTTAAAGAGTTTGAAAGCCATTCCACTGTTTGTACCTTGAGTTCCATGCCTGCTGGGACATCCTGTGGTTCGCATCGGGGCGCAGCTGTTTGCTGTAAGTTGGAGGCTTTGACACGCCCTCCACCCCAACCCCCTAGGCAGCGTCTTAATAGAGTAGGCAGGGACAGAAAGTCGTTAATAATCACCGGCTTTAAAGTCGGAGAGCACGGGAAGAGCCTGGGATTGCATCCTCCTTTAAAAATGAAAACACAAGACCCGCATGAGGTGCTCCTGCACGTGGACCAGCGAACCTGAACGTGATGCGGGGAACGACTGCCCGCACCTGACCCGGCCCTGCATTCCCCTCCTTCGCCGGCAGGTGGAGCTGACGGGCAGCAGCGTCTTCGACTACATCCATCCTGGGGACCACTCCGAGGTGCTGGAGCAACTGGGGCTGCGGGCCCGGATTCCCGGGCCCCCCACCCCGCCCTCCGTTCCCTCTTCTTCCTCCTCCTCCTCATCTTCCTCCTCGCTTGCGGATACGCCTGAGATCGGTAATTCCAAGGGCCCCCAAAGGATGCCTGATCAGGGGACACACGATACACTGTAAACAGCTGATTCATTTATACAAAAACCACTCTCGTTAGGGTTGTGCAAAGCTAGTTTTTGTAAAGCGAATCAGTCTAAACTGAGGCAACAAGACTTGGCTCCCTAAGAATACCTGGATCCCCAGATTTGAACTTTAGAAAGACCCCTCCGGCTGCTGAGTGGAGGTGGGTGCCCGTGGGTGACAGATAGAACCAGGCTTTGGTAGATGATAACAATGCACGTTTAATAGGTATTTACATGTGCCATGCCTCTACGTGCATAAATTGATTGACTCCTAACCACAGTCCCACAAGGCAAGAACTATTACTCCCTCTGCTCTACAGAGGAAGCTGAGGCACAGCACAGAGAGATTGAGTTAATTGTTCTAGGTCACACAGCTGTAAGTGGTTGAGCTGGACTCCAGCCCACATTCCTCTAACCCTCTCTCCAATGGAAAATTCCACTCCACGTTGGGGAGGGAGGGTGTTGGATGTTACCCTTTAGTTCCTTTCAGCTCTAAGATGTTGACTGACTGTGAAGTTAACTTTCCTGTAAATGAGATTTTCCTACGCGAGGTTTGCTTTACACCAAAAACATCCGAGTTGTCAGCAGTGCTTGCAAGTTTGGAAAGATGGTGACACGTACAGGACTGTTGGGGACTGTGTTTATGGTTGCACCTAAGTTTGAGGGACAGGGTCATCTGGGTGTGAGCATATTTATGACTATCACAGGGCTTACAGAACGATCTATATTTATGAGTCTTATCTGTCACCCTGAGGCCCTGCCCTGTGTCCAGCCCTGTACTGGGCATGGCTGAGGACACAGTAGTGACAATAGCCCCAACTCCACCTTCCGAGAGCTCACAGTCCAGTGAGGGATACTGACCCGTCCCCAGAGAGTGACAACCCGGAATGGGCAGGGCTGGGGTAGGAGACCCCAGTGGGGTGTCTGACTCAGCCTGCAGGTCAAGGAGGGCTTCCTGGAGGAGATGTCTGACCTGAGACCTGGAGGTTGTAGCTAGAGATGGTGTCAGCAGGAGGCAGCTCTTGCCAAAGTTTTAGGCCTTGGTGAGGACCTGGGTTTCCTCTCAAGGGTCCTAGGGAGCCATGGCAGCTTCAAGACAGGGAGGGACAGTGTCAGAGCTGAGCTGTGGAAAGCCCTGGCCAGCTTCCCCTGGGAGGGGTGGTTAGTGTAGGATGTCAGTGAGCTTGTAGAACCGTTATGCAGGGCTCCGCGTGGCTGTGGCCATGACCTCGTGTCTGGCCACAGAGGGGGTGGGGGGTGGCCTGTGTGTTTCCCCTTCAGGACCCCCATACCCTTCCTTCGCCCTCCGCCCCAGAGGCCGGCCCCACCGAGGTGCCCGCTTCCGCCCGGGTCCAGGAGCGCTCCTTCTTCGTCCGCATGAAGTCCACCCTCACCAAGCGGGGGCTGCACGTCAAGGCTTCTGGGTACAAGGTGGGTGTGAGCGCTCGGGCCCAGCCTCATCACTCTTGCGTCCCCTCGCCAGCCTGGGGAGCGCACCTGCCTTCCTGCCAGCTGTGTCCCTTTGACTACGGAGCCAGGCCGGGTGGCGGGGTTAAGGTCCTGCTGCCCCACCTGCCCCCGCCCTGCCTCCAACCACGCCCACCGCCTGCAGGTCATCCACGTGACCGGTCGCCTTCGGGCCCGCGCCCTGGGCCTTGTAGCCCTCGGCCACACGTTGCCGCCGGCCCCCCTGGCTGAGCTGCCACTGCACGGACACATGATCGTCTTCCGTCTCAGCCTCGGTCTCACCATCCTTGCTTGTGAGAGCAGGTACCAGGGGTGGGGCTGAGGCGGGCCGGGGGGCGGTGCCCAGGAGAGCTGGGGGTGGGAGGGGGCTCCGCAGGCCTCGGGGTGTCGCGGGGGCTGCAGAGCCGCGGAGGGCAGGGGTTCGCGGAAGGAGGGAAAAAAAGTGGAGGCGAGGGGCCTGGGGGGCGGAGGCGGGACTGCGCTGACGCAGGCTCAAGCCCTCCCTTGGGGCGCCCCTGGCCGCACTCCGCCCCTCCCCGGTCCCCTCTCCCGGCCTCTTCCGTCCCTCATCCGCGTTCTCTTGCACCACGCGGTGGGGGGAAATGAGATGGTGAAATAGTCCCTCCGTTCGCGCGCCCCTGGCGTGCCCGGGCCGCCCCACGCCCAGGCCTGCCATCTGCTTGAACGCCCGGGACGCTCTAGGAGGGGCGCTGTCATTTCGCCCATTTTGCAGAGGGAGAACACTGAGGCTCAGCACTCCCCAGGGACGGCGGGAACCCTGAGTGGTTCCAGAGCCAACCCTGCCTCTCCCCCCACCCCGGGGTCTCGCCCCCACCCTCACCCCCGCAGAGTCAGCGAGCACATGGACTTGGGGCCCTCAGAGCTGGTGGGCCGCAGCTGCTACCAGTTTGTCCACGGACAAGATGCAGCCAGGATCCGCCAAAGCCACTTGGACCGTGAGAACCCCAACCCTTGCCTACCTGCACCCCAGACCCGAGTACCCCAATGCCCGGCTCCCTGGAAGTCCTGCTTCAGAGCTGACCACAGCGCCTCCTGCTGCCAACTCCAGGGGCTCAGCGGGGCACAGAGGAGCAGCGAGGAGGCTCTGAACCTCAGCCCAGACTGGGGTGGGAGTGGGGGGCTGTGGGGCCTCAGACCCGCCCTCGGAAGCCCAGGCGCGCGATGCCAGCACCTGGGGCTCTGACTGTCTCCCTCTGTGCTTCTTGCCTTTCTCTCCTCCCCGCCGCTCATCCCTCC